CAAGCTCCGAAAAATTTTTCATGTTTAACAGACTTTTTCAACTTATCATGCATGCCTCAGGCTGCCTGGTAACAAACCCTACAACATTTGAAATATTTAAATAAGAGAAAGTGGGCTAGGGATGTAGATCACTTGTAGAACACTTGCCTACCATGTATGAGGCCCTGAATTTAAGGAGCACTGCAGAGAGAGAGGAAGAGGTTGGGGGGAGATGTACAGAGGTAGATAGATATTGGAGTCCCTAGCTTGTCCATGGTACTAGTCAGAAGCACACTGGAGGCCTGGGTTATAAGACAACCTTGACCATACTAATAAGATCATCCGGCTTGAGTTTAGGATGGAGACAAAGTCTTTGATATTTTGCATTTAAAAGGTATTTGGCTGACAAAAATATCTTATATTCATGATGCCCTTTTAGGATAAACAAGTCAGATCAGTGGCTTAAGTGATTTATCTCAGGTTACAGCCAGCAAAATGGCAAAGCCTAGAATAGAATTCTTGTCTGCAAACTAAATTTCATGCCAAAGAAGTGTTACTATGGCAAAACCACCCTCAGGAATATATTCTACAGCTTTCTATTTAGAAATCATTTATAAAATTTCAAAAAGGAATGTTTTAAATGAGAGGCATAAGAACTAACCCTAATCTGGGCATGGCAGCACACGCCGACAATCCCAGCAACTTGGGAGGCTGAGGCAGGAGGATTGCAAGTTCAAAGCTAGCCTCAGCAACTTAGCGAGATCTTGTCTCAAAATAAAAAATAAAAAAGGGTTAGGATGTAGCTCAGTCGTAAAGAGCCCCTGGGTTTGATTCTTGGTACAAAAACCAACCAACCAACCAACCAAACAAACAAACAAAAAAAGAAAAAACTGCAACAACAAACCCCCCAAACCGGAACAACAACAAAAACTAACCCAAAGTGTCCCAAGTGGTTCGTGCAATTTAGGTACTATACAACAAAGGGTATGTTAGATAGAATACAAATTCATGCTTTAGATTTCCACTGTCCAATGTGGTAACTACTAGTGCATGTAGCTGTATAAATTCAAAAGGATTAAATAAACTAAAAAAAGATTCTCTCTCATTTATACTAGCAGCCACATTTCAGGCACTTAGTGATCAGTCACTCTATTGGACAGTGCTGATACAGAAATTTTCTGTCTTTACAGAGTTCTACAGGATAGTACTGCTATCGAAGATGAACTGATGAATTATATAATTTCATTGCTGCAGTAGAGTAGAAAGGATTGACTTTGAAGACAAACAGCCCTAGTTTTGAGTACTGGGTCTTTCACTTATTACGCCTGCAAATCCTGAACAAGTTTCTAAATGTCTCTAAGTTCTCTGTTTCCTCAGTCTATAAGTTGGGAATCAGAAGTAAAGAGATCAGAACATTTCTCAATACTAGAGAATCTGCAACCTCCCCATTATTTACTGAAATCCCAATGAAGCCTTTTGTGGCTGTTAAAAGGCCCTTGTAAAGAATGAAAATATAGTGTTTCTGAAAGATTTGAAAGAATCTCCAAACCTAAGACCTTAGTTAATAAAAGCATTCTCTCTGTAAGATTTTACCTTTTTCTTGGGAGTGGAGTGGGTAGGTACTTTTTATAAATGCAGAAAAACTAAAATAAACAAAGAAGGACCAATAATTAGAACTAGAAACATTTATAGTTCATTATTCTATTACATTGACTCTAAAAGTTGAGTGAAAAAAAGCTGGATATGAAGGTGTAATTTGAATTAAATGGGTCAGGTGTCTTGGTGGTATTTCCCACAGGAGAACGACAAAAGAATAGCTACAGAATCAGGTATAATTACTCATATGCACAATCAGATATTAACTTTTTATTTAAAGAACAAATCCCTAAACAACTCAATAGCTTGCTGACATAAGTCTATTTTCTACTTTAAAGATGAGGTAGACAAAACATACACTTAAGAAAGACTTCAACACTCTCCAAATCACTGCTTGTTGTTTTGTCACTTCTCCTGAATACAGCTATTTCTTTAAATACTTTCCCCCAAAGAAGGACCTAGTTCAGTGAGTTTTCAAACTAAAAAAACCCCCTTCCCCTCCATTACTGGGAATAAACCCTGGAATGCACTACCACTGAGCTACACCCCCATCCATTTTTATTTTTATTTCTATTTTTTGGTGCCAGGGATCGAACCCAGCCACTCAACCTATTTTTTTTTTTAATTTTGAGACAGGGTTTCACTAAGTTGTTCAGGTCCTTGCTAAGTTGCTGAGGCTGGCTTTGAACTTGTGATCCTCCTATCTCAGTCTCTAGAGCTGCAGGGATTACAGTCGTGAGCTACCATGCCTGGCCCTTTTTATTTTTGGACAATGTCTTGCTAAATTGCTGACGCTGGCCTCAAAGTTAAAATTCTCCTGCTTCAGGCTTCTGAGTTGCTGGGATTACAGGTGTGCATCATTATACTTGAGCCACTAAGAAAACCTTTGTTTCTATCTCTTGTTAAAAATCTCTCTAGGGCTGGGGTTGTGGCTCAGTGGTAGAGTGCTTGCCTAGCCACGTGCGAAGCCCTGGGTTCGATCCTCAGCAACCATATAAAAATAAATAAAATAAAGGTATTGTGTCCAACTACAACTAAAAAAT